AGGCTCCAGGCTCTGAGTGTCAGCACAGAGCTGGATGTGGGGCTTAAACCCACAAACTTTGAGATCATGACCTGAGCCAAAGTTAGATACTTAACTGAGTGAGCCACCCAGGCGCCCCAAGATTTTAAATGTAAATCTCAGATATGATCTATATACCTGAATAAATGCTTCAAGAATAATGTTAGATACTGTGAAATTTTGAACTAGGGTATCATTTTATTCTTAAGCTCACTATTAGTTTGTTTTTTCTGTGCTGTCTCTCTCTCAAGATACACATCTATTTGAGAAAGATTTACCAGAAGTAGCAATCATCGTGGTGCCTGGGTGTCTCGGTTGGTTAAGTGTCAGACTTTGGCTCATGTCATGATCTCAGGGTTCATGGGTTCAAGCCCCACTATGGGCTGTCTGCTGTCAGCACAGAGCTCACTTTGGGTCCTCTGTCTCCCTCTGTGCTCCTTCCCTGCTCTAATTCCTGCTCTCTGAGATGGAGACGGAATCCCAAGCAGGCTCCACAAGGCAGTACAGAGCCCAACGCAGGGCTCCAGCCTGTGAACCATGAGATCATGACCTTTACTGAAACCAAAAGTCAGACACTTAGCCAACTGAGCCACACAAAGCCCCTAAATTCTTGAGGTTTGTAGTAGATTTGAGTATTCCGGCAAGTTGGAAGAAGGGGAGATGAAAAAAAGTGAACTAGATAGTTCACTGTATAATCCATATACTTTATCAACAATCTCCTCATCAGAACTGGTTTTAGGTTTAGTTGGCAATAAGGGTTTTTCTATGTAAGTATGTGTGTTTTATATATATTTAGAAAAGAATGTGTTTGGGGCACCTGGGTAGCTCAGTCAGCAGGGCGTCCAACATTGGCTCAGGTCATGACCTCGCTATTTCATGAGTTCAAGCCCCATGTTGGACACTGTGCCGACGGCTTGGAACCTGGAGCCTACTTCCAGGTTCCAGAGAGCCTCCCTCTCTCTCTTCCCCTGCCTGCTTGTGTTCTCTCTTTATGTCTCTCTCTCAAAAATAAATAAACACTAAAAAAAAAAAAAAGAGAGAGAAGGGGCCCCTGGGTAGCTCAGTTGGTTAAGTGTCAGACTTTGGCTCAGGTCATGATCTCATGGTTCGTGGGTTTGAGTCCTGCATCAGGCTCTGTGCTGGCAGCTTGGAACCTGGAGCCTGCTTTAGATTCTGTCTCTGTCTCTCTTCCCCTCCCCTACTTGTGCTCTCTCTCTCAAATATAAAAACATTAAAAAGAATTTTTTTTAAAGAAAACAGTATGCTTAATTATACTTTCTTATATAAAGTAACTACCCTTCATTTTGAAATTCTTCTCCCACTTGTTTCCAACTTGAGACTTCTGTTATTAGGGAATTTTTAATGTTGTTGAATATCATTTTAATTTATGTTTAATTGAATAAAATATTGATAAAATTATCTGCTTTGAATAGGTACTATTACCAAAGGGGTATTCTGGCAAAAGTAGAAGGTCAGCGCTTGGTGTATCAGTTCAAGGAAATGCCAAAAGATCTTATTTATATAGATGATGAGGATCCAGGTTCCAGCATAGAGTCTTCAGATCCATCACTGTCTTCAACAACTACTTCAAGTAGGAGCCAAGCAAGCAGATCGAGAGTATCCTCAAGTCCTGGGATAAAAGGAGGAGCCACTACAGTTCTAAAGCCGGGAAATTCTAAAGCTACAAAACCCAAAGATCCTGCAGAAGCTGCACAGCCATCAGAAGTTCTGAGGACAGTGCAGCCTGCACAGTCTCCATATCCTACCCAGCTCTTCCGGACTATTCATGTAGTACAGCCAGTACAAGCTGTCCCAGAAGGAGAAGCAACCGTAACCAGTAGCATGCAGGATGAAACATTAAATTCTTCCGTTCAGAGTATTAGGTGAGAAAACTATAAAGTTATTGATGCATTTCATTATGTGATGTTTCTGACCAGAGAGCCATTATTAGTTAAATACGTTAGGATTCAGAAGTGAGAATAAAAATTGTATTGACTTCAAGCTAGAAATCTTATTCAACAGATTGTTTTCAGCAGCAGATGACATCAATCCTGATTCTATCAGTGATTCCTTGTTTTTAAACTTTGACATTACTTGATGTTATTCTATTAAGTCTAGTCTACTGTACCTTTGTACGATTGGATTGATCCATACAAGAAGCAATCCACATATTAGAAACTCCAGAGAATGGTTTCAGACCTTCCTTTCAAAGTCAGAAGCTGTAAAAATTTAACATAAATTGACAATCATGACCTTCTGGAATATAGTGAGTTCGAAGAAACAACATTACTCCTTGAGAAGATCTTATCACGGAGCAGTTTTAAAGTTCAAAGAGGCCAAGAATCTAATTTTTTGGGCTTTTAGAGTAGCAAAAGTTGGAAAAATAGTTTTATAGCAATAAAATCAAATTTATCTCATAACCCTGGGAAAGATGAAACAACAAATTGATCAAGAAAACCCTGTCTGCTTTAAACTGGTCTTTTGCAGCATTTGGGACTGGTCTCATTGATGTATAATGGGGAAAAAGAGGAAAGGCAGAAAATTAGATGGACATTTGTAACATTCTCTTTTTCTACCGTCATGAATTTCCAGAATGTGAATTACAATAAAATACAGGAGCCCGTCCAAATACAATAAAAATGATTCTTTGATTATTTTTATTAGCTGACTTCAGTCTTAACATTTGTATATTCCTGAATATAAATGCTGGATTTTTGTTCAGTTGATCTTGAGGTAAGAAGCATTACCCAGAATCAAGACAGAGTTAGATGTTTTAGTCTTCCTTGTATGGTCCATTTAAACTTGTGGCATCGTGAAAATTGACTTGCAAGGAGTAGAAAGGTTACATTTGTCCCATTTTAATTGGACAGGAAGGATCATTCTTTCACTGTTATTAAAGGAGTACTTATTTATCTATTTTCTTTTTAATGTTTTATTTTCCTCTATGTCCTATTGGTTTTGTGTGATAACTGAGTATCTAGTTGGAAGTACGTGATTCCTCCCATTGGTTTCTAGGCTCTGTAGTCTTATCATTGTGTGTATTCGTGTTAATAGGAAACATCCAATAGTCATAAGCTAATCACTAGGACCCCCTTCGTGGAGTGATTCAGTTATTTTTTAGCATCTTTTTTTTACACCTTGAGAATAAAAACAAATCCCCCCACCTTGCAATAAAAAAAGTCCACAGAAGTCTAGCTCTGATGGATATGAAACTGTGATACTGTATTGGATACTTTATTACTCTGAATGTCAATTTCTGAATACTCAGTGCTAGATATTAAAATGCTATAATTACACTCCTTATCCATGATTTGCAAACTGTCTTTTGGTGTACTTTTCCGAATTTTCATTTCTAAGGTCCCTGATTGTTCTGTGGACTCCCTGCCTGCTTCCTGCCTCCAGTGTTTTTTCTCTGGAGTCCAACCTGTTATATAAGACTACTAGTCACAGCTTTGCTATGCTACTTTCTTGCAACTTTTGTTAGATTCATGTTGCACACAGACTGCAGTTAAATCTCTGGAGCTCCGCTACCAGCTCTCACTTCTCTGCTCATGATTCCTTCCTTGCCTTCCACAGTTAAAGCTGACTGCTTGTGTGCAGTGCAGCTCAATCTGGGACTTGAACCAAGTGTTTCAGTTGACTTTAATGCTCGTCTCCTCCTATACATGTAACCCTGCAGGAGCCACATTTTATTCATTGTCCTGCTTAACATAGTCTCTATCACATAACACCCCTTCAGATTTATAGATTTTATTTTGAAATAGTGTATATATTCATTCTTATCTCCTCTCGGAATAATGAGTTCTCTAAGTGTACTGCTTATATAATGAAGAAATTAAAAACTTTAACTTTTCAGAGTTTAAAACATACTTCCTTATTGAATAAATCATTTTCTATTTATATGTATATATATACACACTTTCTTTTTTTATACATATACACACATTCTTAATCATTCCTTTGACTTTAAAAAAAATTGTTCCCACATTTGGTTGTATCTTTTATTTGTATCTCTCAAAAATCCTACTTATTTTAAAGCAGTTAAGCCTCTAATGGAATGCATTTTATTCCCTGAAATTACTGGATATGTTAAGGCCAAAGTTAATGAATAATGAATATAATTACTCCGGTTTTGCTATTGTTCTTTTCCATTATATAGAAAGAAAGAAAAGGTGTTAAGTAAATTTCAAGCAAATTGTACATATTACTCTGAAATTTTAATGCATTATTAGAATCATTTTTCATTAGATTATTTCCTTATTTAGTGATTTCTTTATTTTTTATTTGTATTTTTTATAATTACCTGAACTTTTCATCATGAAAAATTTCACAATATTAACAGGCTGAAATAGTACAATGAACACCTGGATTCACAGTTTAAATCCACATATTCACATATTTAAATCCACCTGGATTCACAGTTGATAGCATTTTGCTTTATTTGTTTTCTCTCTATTTCTACCCTTTTTCATGCTTGGTTATTTGTCAAGTAAGTGGACATCATTATGACATTTTATTTCTAAACATTTCAACATACAGTTCTTAAGAATAGAGAGGTTTTCCTAAATAACTGTCGTATTATTACTCCTAAGTAAAATAGCAGTAATTTGGCTACATTTTTCTTAATTTTATAACTACTTATTAACAAAAACAAAGACCACTTAAAGATCTGTAGCTAAGAGAAAATGGAATATATAGGACTTAAAATTATTAAAAATTAAATAAAAAGGGGGGGGCATCTGGGTGGCTCAGTCGGTTAAGCGTCCAACTTCAGCTCAGGTCACGATATCACGGTTAGTGAGTTCGAGCCCCACATCAGGCTCTGTGCTGACAGCTCAGAGCCTGGAGCCTGCTTCAGATTCTGTGTCTCCCTTTCTCTCTGCCCCTCCCCCACTCATGCTCTGTCTCTCTCTCAAAAATGAAAATAAACATTAAAAAAAAAATTTATAGGACGTAGAATATTCAGTGAATATATCAATAAGAACTGACATTTTCAAAGCACTCTCTGTATTTTATACGCTTTCCATATATTAATGTCTAATATCCTAACTTATCAATGAGATATAGGTAGTATTATTCCTATTTTACAGATGAGGAAGCCAAGGCCAGGAGAGGCCAAGGAACCTGGTCACATCTAGTAAGTGGTGAAGACAGTGTTTTAATGAAGAAGTTTAGTCCAAAGCAGTGAGCTCATGATTTGCCACCCTGCCTGTTGAGTCACATGATTCTCATGAATTACCATTCATTTACAATGAAGTAACAACATGTTTTTTCTTTTCTCAGTTTTTCCTTTGCTCATATCTTTTTATCTCACATAATTTCATGTATGTCTGTTGAAATCTATTAAGCTTTTCTAAATGATTTATGGTATATGTGCTCAGTTTTTACTCTGCTTTAATTTTATATGTGCTTTAATTTTGACTCTGGCTTCATGTTATTTAAAGAAGCTACAACAAAAGTAAACCTCTGGTAAAATATTTTCCTGAAATTGTCCCTTGATAAATTTGCAAATCCACATACCAACCTAACATAATTTTTTTCTCTGTAATATTTATTCAAGCACCAGTAGTTTGTTTTAAATCACTTAGCCTCAAAAAATGTATAATGTGCAAATTATCTTAAAAGCAAAGTAATGGAGTAGGAAGACTATAGGCGTAACTTTCCAGCCCTTCAACCTTGTCAATTATTAGATGTGACATTGAATTGGATTAATTAACTATTCTGAGTCTGTTTCCTCATCTCTAAAATAAAGGTGATCTTAACAGTTAATGGTGTTACAGGTGATCATAACAGTTAAATGACATTTCCTTGACATCTAAGTAGATATGCAATAAGAACTAAATGTTACATTGTATACCTTTCTTAGTCTCAGAAAGTTTGAGGAATTTTAAATTACCAGTATATACCAGTGGTTACAAGCAGTGTAGGAAATTTTATAAAGTAGTTAACTGTAACATAACCTTTGTTATATAATATAACCAGACACAACTGACAGTTTAATCATTAACTAAGAAAAAAATAATTAAAATTTTCTGTGGTTGGGAAAAGGCTGCATGATATTTTACCTTTAATCTCTGAATTTTTGTATTAGTGAAAATCACTTATTTTAGAATTTGTTCAAATAAGCCAGTATATTTACATTATATATATATATAAATGAGTATATATATTTTCCGGCAGAGGACAGTCAGGTGTTTGGAGAAAAGGATGTCTTTTTCTAGTTTGAACAAAAGCATTGAAAGTCTGGTGGTAGCCCTGGTTAGCAATATGGAAAATTTCCAAGTACGTTATTGCTTGTGCCACACCTGAATGAGGAAAAGAGGAAAAAGGAGTTGTGTATTAAAGGTGTGTAACTGCCCACAGTTTAAAGATAGAAAAGACAGTATTCATCTTTAGCTGAATTTATTTGGGACTGAAGAAGTGGCAGTGTGTTGTAACGGGCAAGCACAAAGGTCTTGCAGCAGTTGGCCTCTTTTCTTATATAGCTGGTCACCTTATGCAAGCTGTTCACTCTCTTTGTGCATTAATTTTTTATATGTAAAATGGGGATAATAGAACTTACAGGGTGGCAAGGCTGTACATATTTATAGATACTATCTGTGTGCTTACTATATGCCATGTACTGTCTTATTTACATGTACATGGCCATGAACTCTTGTCATGGGGAGCCCTTAATTTAAGAAATGATATCTGGCTATAGGGTCAGTTAACATACCCAGGCTCCAAGATACCCACCCAAGATACCCTGATTCAGGTAGGCAAGGGGAAGAAGGAAGAACAGTGTATTTTGGAAAAGCTGCCTGGATCCCAAAGTTATTCTGTATCCTTCCAACTCTTTTCTTGCCTGCCAATATTATCAGTATATCTGGCCTTTATTTCTAGTCATAGCCTGTCCACCTATTAAATCTTCATTACCCGGCTCATATTCTCTTCTAACTCCATCCTTCAAAAGAGCTGCTAACATCCTGCTCTAGGCTGATTGTCACAGAGGCGGCTTGGTTGGAATCTGAACTCGGAAATCAGAATCCTACCACAGTGGGTAGGATCTAGTCATCCTGTGTCATTCCACTTGCTTTGAACTTCTCTTAAGCTGCACTGAGTTTTCTTTTCCTATGTCTACCTAGCTAACCCATTTGTTTTCTCCAGAATTTTATTTCTCACATATGTAACAAGCCACATAACTGTAACATATAAAATTTGCCTATAATAATCTGTGTGCAATGATTAACATTTGGGTGATGGGCACCAGCCTAGCTGTTGACCATTTGAAGTAGCAGTCATCTATCTTCTGTATAATAGCTTCATAGAATTAAGAGGAAACAGTTGAGATCAGATGCTGAGTGTTTTCAGCTGTGCTTGTTTTATATTAACAAAGGCCATAACAATAATTTTCACACCAGTGAACTTTTAAAATTGGATTGACTCACAATGTCATTAACAACCTTATGTAAGCTTGATGTACATTAAAGGATTTTATGTTAAAGATTATTTGAGCTGAGAAAACTGCTGAAACATGCTTCCATTTATTTTTGCCAAAGCTTGCCCTTATTGTTTGCTCTCAATGCCAACCTAAAGAACCCCCATGAGTTCATTATATTCATGACTCGTTTTATGTAATACAATATGAACTGTGAACTATTAAATTTCTTCTTATAGTTCTGTTCAATATACATTTAAGACTGAGTTTTTTTTTTTTAATTGAGCATTTTCCCTCTATATATAGAGAAACAGGTTGAAAACAATTACAATCATATGAAATCTGGTAATTGTGGATGAACATGTGGATGATATTATCCCTCAAGTATTAAAAATAATGAGAGTGAATCTAATACATTTGTTTGAAAATACCTAATTTTCTTGGGGTGCTTGGGTGGCTCAGTTGGTTAAGCATCTGATTCTTGACTTCAGCTCAGGTCATGATCTCATGGTTTGAGTACGAGTCCTGCATGTGGCTCTGCACTAGCAGTATGGAGCCTGCTTGGGATTCTCTGTCTCCCTCTGTCTCTGCCCCTCCCCTGCTCATGCTTGTGCTCTTGCTTGCTCTCTCCAAAAATAAACTTAAAAAAAAAAAAATTTCTAATTTTCTTTCAGGCAGTTCATAATAACTTCTTTGCCAAGCATTTTGATATCCTCCTCCTTCCCCAACAAAATTGCTTCCCCATTTGTGTTAATGTGGCACTTTGTACAGCAGATGGTATCATAGTTAATGGCCTGAGAGTTTTGTGTTGGACATTCCATTATAATACAGGGTCTGGTATGATGTTTATGTTGTGTTGAAAATACAGGGAGTAGCATTTGAAATGTATAACTCCTATTTTGTCAAAATGACTTCAAATGTTAAAAAAGTTTTCAGTTGTGTAGAATATGCTGATTTTCTTTTATTTCATAATCTCAATAGGACTATACAGGCTCCAACCCAAGTTCCAGTGGTTGTGTCTCCTGGGAATCAGCATTTGCATACAGTAACACTCCAGACAGTGCCAATCACAACAGTGATAGCCAGCACAGATCCATCATCAGGTGCTGGATCTCAGAAATTTATTTTACAAGCCATTCCATCCTCACAGCCCATGACAGTACTGAAAGAAAATGTCATGCTGCAGTCACAGAAGCCAGGCTCCCCTCCTTCGATTGTCTTGAGCCCTGCCCATGTACAGCAGGTACTTACTAGCAATGTTCAATCCATTTGCAACGGAACCGTCAGTATGGCTTCATCTCCGTCCTTCAGTGCTACTACTCCTGTGGTGACCTTTTCTCCTCGAAGTTCACAACTTGTTGCTCACCCACCTGGCACTGTAATCACTTCGGTTATCAAAGCTCAAGAAACAAAAACTCTTATACAGGAAGTAGAGAAAAAGGAAGTTGAAGATCATTTGAAAGAAGACATTGAGAAGACTGAGCAACAGCCACAGCCTTATGTGATGGTGGTATCCAATTCCAATGGATTTGCCTCTCAGGTAGCTGTGAAACAAAATGAATTGCTGGAACCCAACTCTTTTTAATTAATATACCAAAGGAATTATGGATGATTGTTTTTTAATTGAACATTTCCAGTTGTATTCAGACTGATTCTAAGATAAATTCTACAGATGTTCCTAATTTTGTAGTTAATTGTTAAAAATATTAATTTAGAGTTAATTTTGACTTTGTTAGATGAGGGAAGGTACCCAAGTGTTTCTCTTTGTTGTGCAAATGTTTCAGAATTCAATTGTGAAGGAACAGGCATTTTATACTATGAAGACATCCTTTTCAGATTTTTTTCAGTTGCTATACCATAAGCATTTTTTAAGTTTCTTTTTTAATTTTACATGGTATTAGTTTTTCTGATTCTTTTGTAAATACAGTACTTAAATACAAGGCAACAGGAGATTTATATAGGAACCATTTTCATTCCATTTGCGTAACTTAAAGTCTTGACCCTTTCAAATGCAAGACACCTATTTTATACTTTGTTAAAATTATGATTTCAGTTAGATTGACTTTAGTTGGTTGCACTGTATAAGGAACTATGAAGATGTAGAAAACAACATTAAAAATTGAAAGTTGCCCATGATACGGCTGAACCTGTTTCAGAAGCAGGATAGTATAAAAGCGTCAGCCTAAGAGTGGCTTTTCTGCTAATTAGTTGTGTGATGTGGGGCAAAGCCACTGGATCTTTTGGGGCCTCAGTTCTCCCATAAAAGGAAGGGATATGTTGGATTAGATGAGATGATCTTCAGGCTCCTTTCTGGTTCTAAATTTAATGATTCTAGCTCCTATATTTTAAAGTTATATCAACTAAAACATTATCAGCTTATTTCTTAATGTAAATATGGCTAACATATTGCAGAAAAATAACTGGCCCTACAACCTACAAAATTCATTCTTCTGTTATCTGTAAGATCTGCTATGAATCTGAATTCTTCCTAAATACTGTGTTCATTAACTTTTTAGGCCACTGTGTACCGTGGCCCATCAGTAAACTTACATTGCTGAGTGCTAAATGATGTACTGCCATTCTGAAAGAGTCAAGGCTCTTTCTTAAGGGCCCAGAAAGCAACCACACCTTGGGCTCATCTGGCTGAGTAGTCAGTTGCTATAAAAGCATAATTGCTTTATATTTTGGATCATTTTTTTATTGGGAGTTGGGGGGGTTGCGTACAAAGATAATATACATATATATCTGAGTCTCGGAAATGAAATAGTTTTTAGATTACTTTTCAACTGTAAATAATGTACATTTAATTTCACAAGAAAAATTGTTTTCTGCAAATTTTCTAGTACAGCAAAGGAGAAACTTTTGTAGATGAAAAAAATCATGTTTAGAGGTCTCTTGTTCTATGTTTTCATATTACAGAGTGAATTTGTATTTAAGCAAAAATTTAAATTTTGGAAGCCTCTAAACGTTTTTGTATCTTTAATTGGTTTATTATTAAATAAATCATGTAAAAATTCTCAGTGTGTTTTCAAGCAATTATTTCTTAAGAAGAAGAAGTATACAGAAAATGTTGTTGGTATTTGCAATGCTATTAAGTATTCGTATAATAAGCTCCATCGGTCAGATTAGAATTGCTGAATGCAGTTCCTCCTCTCACTTTTCCTTTCTGCTATGCCAGATGGCAGCATCTACATGGCACACGTGGATTGCCAAGCTCTATAAATTAGAAAACAATAAAATTTTCTTAGCAATAATATTCAACACACTCTAAAAAACAAGTTTTCTGGGGCGCCTGGTGGCTCAGTTGGTAAGCGTGTGACTTCAGCTCAGGTTATGATCTCACGGTTCGTGAGTTCGAACCCCGCATCGGGCTCTGTGCTGACAGCTCAGAGCCTGGAGCCTGCTTCGGATTCTGTGTTTCCCTCTCTCTCTGCTACTCCCCCACTCACACTCTGTGTCTCAAAAATAAATAAACATTAAAAAATTAAAAATAATAAAAAAAACAAGTTTTCTAATTAGAAATCAGATCAGTTAATTGTTAAACTTAGAAAACATAGAACCAGAAAAAGAGAAGAAAATTAAAATCTCAATGCAATACCCCTGTACCTAGTAGTAACTTACACACTTACTCATTTTGTCATGTCAGTTAATATTCTTAAAAAATTGGATTTTAAAAGGAGCATTTTAATCTCTGAAGTCAGAGGAATGCAGAAAAGAATCTGAACAAATAGGCCTTGCTAAATTTCCCTCAGTTTACTACCCTTAGTTCATACCCTTTTCTTCTGTCATTTTTCATGACTTCCCATTCTTTATCAAACCTAGTATAAAAACACTTGGGCTTAACATTTCTTTGAATCTTCATTTCCATATGAAGGCTCCCACATCATGTAAAACATTAAAATAAATAGGTATGCTTTCCTTCTTTAAACTGTCAGTTTGATTTTTAGGCCCAGCTAAGCACCCTAAGAGAGTCATGGGAAAGTTCTTTCTCCTATAGAACTCTGGCTAGCCATGCATCCCCTAACATAATCTCCTCATATTGAACTCCTGAACAGGAGCATAGCTAGCTCTCTGGCCTGTGATGTTACTCTCACTGTCCTAACCTAAAAACCTGATGTTTTCTCAGTTCCCATTCATTCTTTAACCTTCTATAGTATTGCATTTGCCCTATTACCCTGAAATTACTGTTGCAAAGGTCACTAACTAGTAGTTAATTTCCATATGCCAGATTTCTGTCCTTATCTTCCTTGACCTTTCCAACATTTAACCTTTTATAACTCACCCTGAAACAATTTTTTTTTTTTTTTTAAATTTTAGAGAGTGTGTGTGAGCAGGGGAGAGGGGCAGAGGGAGAGAAAGAATCTTAAGCAGGCTGCACACTCAGTATGGAACCCAATGCAGGGCTTGATCTTACAACCCTGGGATTATGACCTGAACCAAAATCAAGAGCTGGATGCTCAACTAGCTGAGCCAGCCAGGTGCCCCAACTCACTGTTACTTTAAGTTCTCAATTTATTGCTTTCACTTTTTTTAATTTTTATTTTTTATTAAAAAAATTTTTTTAATGTTTATTCCAATTTCATTATGTCAAATCCTTTAGTGTCAAGCCCTTCCTCACTGTCCTCAGAGTTGATGTCCTGCATGGTCTTACCTCTTCTTGGTCCCACCAGCCTTATCTTCAAATATTACTCTCCAAATCCTGTCAGTTTGGATTGGGGTGCTTTCAGTTGCATGAAACAAAAACCCAATTTAAAATTATTAAATAGTACAAAATAAGACGTCTGGAGTTAGGTTTCCAGGTTAGTTAATTCAGGAACTCAGGGGTGATAGTAACCAGGTTTCTTCCCTCTCTGCTTTCCCATCCTCAGCATTTTGCTTTAGTTTCCAGGATGGCTTCTGCCATACTTGCAGATAGCTGCAGTAGTTCCTTCTAGGTTTCTGTTTGTCAGAAGATCTTTCCCAGAATACCCTGAACAGCCGTCTCTTCAGAGCTCGTTGGCTAGATTTGTCATATACCCCTTCCTAAACAAATTGCTAGCCAAGGAAGTAGGGTTACCATGAATGACTTAGATGTGTATGGTGCCAAACAAAATCGGGGCTCTCCAGCAAGAAATGAGGGAGAATGGTGTGGCCTACCATCACCCACACACATCTTTCTTTACAGACACTTTCAAAAACGCTCATGCCTACATAAAACATGTATTTCTCTCCCAAAGTGAGATCAAAGTCCCATCCTGTTGCTCGATCCAGTTTCATGCCTGGGATGTTTGAGATCATATGCAGTCGTCTTTTTCAGATCAGCTGTGTCCCCCTGGTTTCTTGTCCTCCACAGCCACATCCAGTATGAGCACTCAGGATACTCTTTCCAGAGTCAGCTTTAGAACACACCATTTGATGATATAAGTTTGATGCCCTGTCCCAGGGTCACCATTTTCCCATCCTGGAATAGTTGTGTCCTCAGTACCTTTCATCCTGCCTTTTATACATACCCAGTCAGTTATACAACATACCAGGGTCAGTTTTGGAGAATTCCACTTCCAAATACTAAATTGTCTTCCAGTTTGAGTTCTGGGTCCTTAGCAATAGAGATGGATTCTGGTTTTCAGCATAAAGAAATTTTATTATAAGAATATTGTATAGTTCATAGAATAGACAAAAGGACTAGAGAATCGGGGTCAATCTGAGTCAAACAGCTAGGAAAAAACTGCACAAGTGATTTTGTGGAGAAATTGTAGCCACTGTTGCCAAGCACTAAACACTAGGCTTTGTATCACTGTCTCTGCTGCCCCAGGAGTTTGGTTGCGATACAAGTGCTCCTGCATCCAGGTGCCCCTGATTTTGAGCATCTTTTGATGTGCTCATGTGACATCCATATATTTTCTTTGATGAAATGATTGTTAAAATTTGTTGTCCATCAAAAATTCTGTTGCTTTCTTATTACTGACTTTTGAGAACTCTTTATGTATTCTGGATGCAAGTTCTTCATCAGCTATATGATTCGCAAGTATTTTTAAAGTGCAGAAACCTTTTAATTTTGGTAAAGTCTGATTTATCAACTTCTTAAGGGTCATGCTGTTAGTGTCATATTTAAGAAATCTTTGCCTAATCCCAGGTCACTAAGGTTTTCTTCCTTCTAGACGTTTTATAGTTTTAAATTTTACGTTTGGGCCCATGATCCATTTTGAGTTAATTTTTATAGATGATGCAAGGTATGTATTGGATGTTCACTTTTTTTGCTTTTGTATATTCAATTTGTTGAAAACACTGTCCCTTTCAATTAAAAAGTATCAAAAGACTATCCTTTTCAACTATCTTCCCTGAGTTATCTTTGGACCTTTGTTGAAAATCACTTGTCGTATACGTACAGGTGAATTTATGGACTCTATTCTGTTCTATTGATCTTTGTGCCAATACATACAAAGGTTGGTGTGTTGAAATCAGTAGTGTTAGTTCTCCAGCTTTGTTATTTTTCAAAGTTGATTTGACTATTCTAATTATGTATTTCCACCTGAATTTGCAGAATCAGTTTCTCAACTGAAACAGAAAAAACCTTTGGGATTTTGATTGGGATCATGTTGAATCCATAGATCAATTTGGGAAGAACTGACATTTTAACAATATTAAGTCTCCATAGATGTATCTCCATTTGTTTAGGTGTTCTTTAATTTCTCTCAGCAATGTTTCATAAATCTCAATGTATACTTTTTGTGTATCCTTTGTCAGGTTTATTTTTCAGTATTTAATATTTTTGATGCTATTGTAAATGTCATAAATTTCAAATTCTGACTGTTGCTGGTTGTGTTTTAAATCTTTACCTCCTATTTATGGAGGCATGAAAGGTACAAATCTTATGTGTACAACCCAATAAAATTTTACATCTGAATATATTGGCGTAATTGCCACCTGGTTCAAGATATGTAACATTTCCTGCATCCAAGAAGTTTCCTTTGTGGCTCTTCTCAGCTAGGAGATCACTTTCTGGTATCCCTCACAATAGTTTTTATCTTCCTATAAATGGAATCAATCGAGATGTACCCTGTCTGGCTTCTTTAACTCAACATTATGTATGTGAGGTATGTATGTGAGGTTCCTACATTTTGTTGTGTGTATTGGCAATTTATTCTTAATCATTGCTCTATAGTATTTTTCTCCTATCAAAGGATATTTATTTACAGTTTTTCCTGTGCATAATGCTGTAATCAATATTCGTGTACACAAACTAAGTACTCTTTTCTCTTGGGGATATGCCCAGTGGTAGAATTTTTGGGTAACAAGGTATATGTATGACTAGCTTTAGTAGATAGTGTCAAAAGTTTTCTAGGGGTGCCTGGCTGTGGAGCATGTAATTCTTGGAGTTGTAATTCGAGTCCCATGTTAGGGTGTAGAGATTATTTTTTTAAATCTTAAAAAGTTTTCTAAAGTAATGACACCAATTTATACTCCCACTAGCAACATACACCAGTTATAGGTGCCCCATATCCCTGCCTAGGCTTGGTATTGGAATTCCTTTTAAACAATTCTGGTGAGTGTTTAGTAGCAAAGTATGACTTTAATGTCCCTAATATAGCTATTGATGTAGAACTTCTTTTCCTATGCATATTGGCCATTTAGAGAACACTTGAAAATCAAAGTAATTCACTTTAAAGAAAAAATAGATATGAACATTTCAGTAAAGGCAGAAAAAGCATTTGCTATTGAATGCCTTCCCCTCTGATGTTATAGCCAAGAGAGGAAGCCCATTATCACTATTCCATTCAACACTATATGAGATGTACCAGCCAGTGAAAGACAGCAAGACAAAGAAATGAATGGTATAGTCATTTCACGAGACCTTAAACAATCTTTATTCACAGATGAAAAATTGTAATCATAGAAATTCTAAAAGAACCTACAAGGTATTAGAAATGTAAGGTCAAGGGGCGCCTGGGTGGCTCCATCGCTTAAGCGTCCGACTTCAGCTCAGGTCATGATCTCGCTCGGTGCCTGGAGCCTGCTTCGGATTCTGTGTCTCCCTATCTCTTGGCCCCTCCCCTGCTCATGCTCTGTCTCTCAATAATGTTAAAAAAAAAAAAAAAAAAGAAATAGAAGGTCAATATGTAAAAATACTGTTTCTACGTATTAAAAACAAAGAAGTAGAATATAAGACTTTTATCTTTTTTAACGTTTATTTTTTGAGAGAGAGTGAGAGAGACAGAGTGCAAGCTGGAGAGGGGCAGAGAGAAAGGGAGACACAGAATGAGGCAGGCTCCAAGCTCTGAGCTGTCAGCACAGAGCCAGATGCAGGGCTTGAATTCATGGATCGCAAGATCTTGACCTGAGCTGAAGTTGGATGCTTAACCGACTGAGCCACCCAGTCATCCCTAAATATAAAACTTTTAAAATGTCATTTAAAATAGCATTAAAAAAACCAAATAACTGGAGGGCCTGGGTGGCTCAGTTGGTTAAGTGTCTGACTCTTGATTTTGGCTCAGGTTATGATCTCACAGTTCCTGAGCTCTACGCAGGGCTCTGTGCTGACAGCGTGGAGCCCACCTGGAATTCTCTCTCTCCCTCTCTGCCTCTCCCTTGCTCACTCTTCCCCCACCCCGTCTCTCTCTCTCTCTCAAAATAAATAAATAAAAGTTTTGTTTTTAAGCCGAATACCCAAGTATAAATCTAATGAAAGATATGTGATACGTCTACACTGAAATTTACAAAACTGCTGAGGGAAATTAAAGAGCACTTAAACAAATGGAGGGTATATGAATGATACTTATGTCTCAATATTAAGAAGTCCGTTTTCTCCAAACAGATCTACAGATCCAATGCAAGTCCAATTAAAATCCCAGCAGGCTTTTTTTTTTTTTTT